TTCGTACATTGGAAAAAGTATTCATTTTTAGTAACTGAAAGCGCTTGAGAAAAAAATTTCATATTATCCCTGTGAGAAGATTTTTACCGGTCCTATGCCAGATTAGATATCACTATCAAATTCTTCTTTCTTTAAAACTATACTACCTTGTACAGATAGCAAGGTTTGTTTTTTCTAGATTTAGTATATGATTTGTTTGTCTAGAACTTGCCCATGATAGATTAGAGATGAGTCCCGAATCACAATTAGTAATAGTTACTTACCAACAGGATCGCTAGATTTAACGCATTTTTTCATTCTTGTGACATTTCTTCAGGCGTTCCAGAGGGAAATCCTGCTTAAAACATGCCTATTCTATCTTCGTTTCAGTTTTAACATACATTTTTATAGGATCGAGCACTCACCGAAGATGAAAAGAAGGCACGCAAAAAAGCTGACCGTGAACGTAAGTGACAAGAGGCACGTGAAGCCGCTGAAAAAAAAAAGCGATTTGCTCTCACACCAGAAAAAAAACGTAAATTGCGGGTAAGTTTAATATTCGTTTAACAATATCTAAGAAATCTAAATAGGGAAAATTGAATTACTTCTTTTTTCAGCTTTTGATTATGAAAATGGCTACGGAAAATATCAAGGGTGAACAACAAAAACGTTTAGAAGCACGAAAAACTTATATTGAACAACATATCAAACCATTGCCAGATTTTGCATCACAGAGTGATGGTACGAGATGAAGGTGTAGAATTTAAAGTTTTTATCATTTTCATTTCTTTTAGCAAATATATTGGCATATTGTAAAGAATTACAACAACAATTGCAACAACATGAAGAAACACGCTATGATTTCGAAATTAAAATTCGTAAACAAGATTATGATGTAAGTGAGAAATGAACAGTAATTTTTCTGGTATCAGGAGAAATCATTTATAATTCACAATGCTCGATGCTTTAATTGAAGATTTTCTCAAGTTTATAAAGTAAAACGAATAAAAGTTTTTATTTATACTTTTAGATCAACGAATTAACAATAAAAATAAATGATATCAAGGGCAAGTTTGTTAAACCATCATTGAAAAAAGTATCAAAAACTGAACAAAAGTATGTGACGAAAATTT